AAAAGCACACAAAACTAAGTCGTTTATTACATCTTTTATAACCTATAAAATAAAAAAAACAAGAAAAACCTAATTACGTAAATTAAGTTGTGAGGTTATACTTTATGTCCACATCTTTGTGATATCATTAATAGACCTTTGATATGATTTCTTTTGTTTACGTATGTAATCTACAAAGATTTTGGAATGTTGATATGCGCAAACGATCAATAATTCGTAGTGTATTATTTGATGTGACCATTACGTTTCTATTATATCATGTTTTGATAGAAAAAACATTTAAATGAGCCCACACAAGATTGTTTTTATATTTCCTAAGAATGTCCAACACACATCCTCCACTTTACCTTTATTTAAACTATTTACTTCGTTCCAAATCGAACATTCAACCTATACGGACGTTTGTGCACCAACATATATACTTTTATTGTATAAAATCCAGGAAAATGACTTGTGAGGTGATAATGAGAATATGTGAACACATTTAACAAGTTAAATGGTCAAATGTTAAAAAAAAAGTTGTCTAAATGTGAACAATTTTTTTATACAAATTTCTTAAGAATTTTTATAATTTCTTATAACATTTATATGATATTTTTTCATATAGGTTTTTCTAATACAATGTTTTAAACTTTACTTATAATTTTTTTAAACTTTTATATAATTTTAAGACAAGTGCTTTTAACTAAATATTTTATAAATGATTTAAATTTTTCTTACAAATTTTTAATATATTTTTTTTATATTTTCATACAATTTTTTTTTAAAATTTCATACATTTATTTCTAAACTTTCTTTTACAATATTTTAAAGTGTTTTACAGTTTTTGTATGACAATTTAATATTTTTTTATAACATTTTAAAATACTTCCGTTAAATATTAGTTTAAAACATTGTATTAAAAAATTAAAAGTTTATAAATTTCTAATTAAAAAGTATTAAAAAGTTAGAATAATTTTAAAACATTTAAATTATATAGATTTTTTTTTGTTGTTTGATTTGCTAAGTAATATTTTCTTTTTATTTTTTTAAAAGACCCTCCATACTTATTGTTACGTATTTAATTTATTTAATTTTATTGTTAGATAGTATTTACTTTAAAAATATTGTATATGCTTAAAAACAAAGGAAAAAAAATATAAGAGACTATATAAAATATTTCACAAAACAAAAACATATTTATTAATTAAAAAAAAAAAGTTTAAAATTGATTAATATTTAATTAATATTTAGGAAATTATGGATATTTTAAAAATAACGTTTGAAAAAAATAATACAACCAAATATGAAAAATAAAATCGCTATTAAAAGTGGGGGAAATGACTTATCATGATAATTAACTTTTCGTTTTGTTCATATTTAGACAATTTTTTTTTTGTACACATTTAACCATTTAACTTGTTATATGTGTTTACATATTGTCATTGTCACCGACTGTCGGTGACAATGACAATATGTAAACACATATAACAAGTTAAATGATCGAATGCATACAAAAATAAAGAGGTTACCTAAATATGAACAAAACGATAAAGATGATTACCCTGTTATTTTCCCAATAAATCCTTTCATTACACCCAAGAATCAATGGTTAACTCCTCATAAAACAGTTTGTAAACTCTATAGGCATGCGGATACGAATACTTACCAAGCGTATTTCATATTGGGTTGTTGTAATTTTATTAACTTTTAAATTAATTATGGAAAAGGTTTTTATGATTATATTGAAAGATCTTTATATTTTTTGTAATTTCCTCTTATAATTTTGTAGATGTCAAAAGTGCATATATGTACCCTTAGTATATCCATGTTTGAGTTTTGAGATTTTAAATAGGATTTGGACAAGAGAAACTATATACAATTGAAAAAATTAAATATATTCGCAAAAGTGCATATATACAACTTTTCGTATATCCAAGGTTTTTAAAGATCTTTTTTACGAATATGTTCAAATATAAGCGACTGAATGCAATAAGTAATATATATA